TCCGGTTTCGGGACCATCACGATGGGGCTGGCCCATGGGCTGCGTGATGGTTCCATCACCCCCAACTTCAGCATCTGTTGAATTTCCTCCTCAATAGCTCGCCGACGAGCCTCAGGGACATGGTAGGGCCGTTGCCTGACGACGACCCCTGGCGGCGTCCGGATGTCGTGCTGCAGGAACACATCAGAGAACTGACCGACCAGGTGCTGCAGATCCCTCTTCTGGGCAGCCGAGAGGTGGGGGTTGACGTCAACAACCACGGGATCAGAGATGGCGAGGGCCGCGAGCTGGTCTCTAGTCCCCATCCACTTCTTCAGGAGGTTAATGTGGTAGAGCTGCTCGGCTCTCCTCCTTCCTGGCTGATGCACCCGGTACGTCACCGGCCCAATCTGCTCCAGCACCTTATAGGAACCCTGCCAGGTGGCCAGGAATTTGCAGGCCTCCAAGCCCGGCCAGTGGAAGTGGTCGTGGATCCGCTGGATGGTGTTCCCGGTCTCCGTTTTGGTGCGTGGCACCACCAACAACAATTTTTCCTCCCCCCTTCGCTGTGCGACACAGTACAGCAGGCCATTTTGCACGACGAAATGCGGGAGAGGGTGGGGACCAGGGTGAACCTCCTTGCCTTCGATGACCCGGACCTGGGTGCATCCATGCTTCAGCCTGTCATCCTCCCGCTGTTCCTTCCCAAATGAGCCCCCTCCCGTTACCTGTTGGAACACATCATAGAAGACGTTAGGATTTTGGGAGGGGGACTCACCTTCTCGACGCTGATGAAGCCTCGGGACGCTCGTCACAATATATAAATATACAGTGGGTACGGAAAGTATTCAGACCCCCTTAAATTTTTCACTCTTTGTTATATTGCAGCCATTGCTAAAATCATTTAAGTAAATTTTTTTTCCTCATTAATGTACACACAGCACACCATATTGACAGAAAAACACAGAATTGTTGACATTTTTGCAGATTTATTAAGAAAGAAAAACTGAAATATCACATGGTCCTAAGTATTCAGACCCTTTGCTGTGACACTCATATATTTAACTCAGGTGCTGTCCATTTCTTCTGATCATCCTTGAGATGGTTCTACACCTTCATTCGAGTCCTATATATATATATATATATATATATATATATATATATATATATATATATATATATATTAATAATGTGATGTGTTGTCTGAAAGAGTTAGAAGCTGCAGTATATCAGTTATCCACAATCTTTATAATATTTAATGAGTGACGCCTTTGTGTTCCTTCACAACAAGGCAAAAAGTCAGTATCGAAAACCTCTCTGTTCCTCTCTGGTGGAATGAGCTGCCAATCTCCACCTGAACTGGGAAGACAATCACATCTTCAAAAAGCAATTGAAAACACACCTATTCCACAAGCACTTAAACACCCCACATTCTTAAACCAATACACTAACACACACACACACCCTCCCCTTTACATTTCTTCTCTTCTCTAGCTTGCTTCTTAATCTAGTTGTCTAATAAACCTGTCATTGGCTATTACGAATTTTGTTGGCCCCTTGACGAATTGCTTTGTTCCTCATATTTGTAAGTCACTTTAAATAGAAATGTCTGCTAAATGACTTTCTTAAAAAAAAAAAAAATTACTGAAACATTGAATCTCTCCTATAGGATGGAAAAGTCATTGTGTGGGATGCATATACAACCAATAAGGTAAATCTTTCTATCTGTGTCACACAGTATTCTTGGGTGATGTTTTGCAGTGCTAGAGCTGTTCAAAATAATAATCTGCATGTTTTATAGTTGTAATGCACTCTAATGGAAACCCAGGGTATTAGTGCCAAACTAATCTGGCAGCAATATAAACACACACATTAACACATCAGACATGCAGAATCTTTTTCTTGTGTATACAGGACCATTGAAATACTCAGACATATATGTACATAGTATTTTTTAGTGTTGCATTTTTAGTTTAGCATTCTCGTTGGATGTTTTTGATGTGTGGGTTTAATAACATGAATGGAGTAAAGCAGTTTAAATAACAGGTTTTCCTATTTGTGTATGTCGTTTGTTGAAATGAAAAAAACAGAAATGTAATTTTAGTCATTAATTAGGCATATTTGCACCTGCAATGCAGTTAGTTTAGTTCTTCCATGAAAACCCAGATCTTGATCAATCATCCATTCTTCATTTTCATGTATATTATGTATCAAAATGTAAATATTTTTTTTTGTGATGTGCGTTATATTTATAGGAGCATGCGGTCACTATGCCCTGCACCTGGGTCATGGCTTGTGCTTATGCCCCTTCTGGCTGTGCTGTGGCTTGTGGGTAAATATCATGAGAACGTCATAAGCATTATTATTAGTAGTAGTAAGTTTCATAATTTCACTGCTGATCTTAACTAAAATAAAATGTATTATTTGCTGTGCATTTCTGCAAAATGTTAACATTTCTCTTTGTCTTTCATTCAGTGGTTTGGATAATAAATGCTCCGTCTATCCTCTATCTTTGGATAAAAATGAGAACTTGGCAGCTAAAAAGAAATCTGTGGCGATGCACACCAACTATCTGTCTTCCTGCAGCTTCACCAACTCTGATATGCAGGTGAGTGTGTGTGTGTGTGTGTGTGTGTATACAGGGTTGTTTATGCTTGTGAATGCCTACACTTTGAAAACTCTCACAAATATATTAAAACATGTGAAAAACCAACTTGTTAGGAAATTTGATGTGTTCCTTACTAATTGTAGCTTTTTAAAGTTTATGTGAGAGTTAGGATTAGAGTAAATAATGATATACAAATATCATTATTAACATTGGAATTATAGCACAAATTAATTTCTATTTGTAATGAGTGGTAATGTCATATTCATTATGAATACATTTATGTTTCACCTTAATTAAAAAAGGTAGTAATTGTTGCTGCTGTAAAGGTTTTACATCTTAATCAATAGCTCTTTACAAAAATGTGTTCGGTTATATAAGGTTTTTTTTTGGTTGTGTAAAATTGAGTGCTAAATGCACTATTTTTGCATTGGCATCAGACCCTGTGTGAGGTTGCATTCATGTAATTTTACATAGACTGTATATATTTATTCATTTTTTTTTTTACTTTAAATCACACCAACACTACAGTCACAGCCCTAAAAATGAAGGAACATTTTTTTTGGTGCTGCAGTGCACTATGTGCTGAGATGGTCAAATTATATTAATTCGTGGTTTAATAATTCAGCTCTAATCAGTGTGTCTGTGGCAGTGATGGGTCTGTAATGATTTAGCTGATATTTATAGAACATAAGCACATTTCTCATAGCAAATATCACAGCAATCCCCTGAAATTCCCCTGATGTGATTTCTGCTTTTAAAAATAACCTTGTCATGGATCAGTAAGAAAAGCTTTTTTTATTGCTTTTTCAGCATGAGTTCTGTGATTTGGTCTGTTCAGTGAGTGTAACAGTCATTTGGAATAATTAATTCTAAAAATAATCACTACAGCTTTCCGTTGGTTTTGTGTTTGTCGTGAGTGTTTTGAAAAAATGGTTGGGGTTTTCTCTCTCTGCATCGTCTCACATCACGGATTGTTCCTCTTTCGTGATTATGTTCCTGTCAGTGACAACAGAGATAATAAAAAGACGAAGTGAAATGTTTTGTTTTCGTCAAGACAGGGGATTCAGTACATCTATTTATAGAAGAGTAGAAAGTGAAAATTCTGCGGCTTCCAGTGATTATGATTTTTTTAGGGTTTACACTCCCAAACTGATTTAAAGGGATAGTTCACATAAAATGTAACATTGTGTCACCTACTCAACCTGATGCTGTTTTATTTTTTATGTAGTTTCTTTAGGACAGTTGAGGAAACAACAAATATTGTATTGCTGCTGCATGTGTTTGTGGTCCTGACATAATGGTCATAATGGTCATAAATCAATACCTCCACTAGAGGGTGATACGGGTGTTTTATATATACTTTTATAAGCCTACTTTTTTCAGGTCAAAATGTCAGGAAGAATTTAAAGTGATCTATACTTGCTTATCCATTTATTCAAGGCAGACACAGAAGTGTTTGTGTGTGTGTTGCAGATTCTGACATCAAGTGGTGATGGGACATGTGCGTTATGGGATGTTGAAAGTGGGCAGCTGCTGCAGAGTTTCCATGGTCACTCAGCTGATGTTCTTTCATTGAACCTCGCACCCTCTGAAACAGGAAACACCTTTGTATCAGGGGTCAGATCCTCAAAACACCATCAACGAATATACTGTTTTACACACACATCCCAACCCCCACTCACATAACACATGTGAGATTACAATCATTACAGCAGAATCAGTGAAATACTCATTTCAGTTTATAAAGATGAAAGAAAGCACTGGATATAAATAATCATTTCTAAATGGCCATCATTAACGTTAGAAGTCATGTGGATTGATTTGACATGTTAGGACGTTGTTCAGTCACAATGTCAGTTTGGGTAATGTGTAGCTAATTTTAGGACATCATTCTCCTGAGATTCACCCTGTTGTGTGTGTGTTGTTCTGCCAGTCTCTAAAGTGCTGTGTGTGTGTTTCAGGGCTGTGATAAGAAGGCTAATGTGTGGGACATGCGCTCGGGACAGAATGTTCAGTCCTTTGAAACGCATGAGTCTGACATCAACTGTGTGAAGTGAGTGACCCGCAGCCTGGCACTTTCTGATAATGCTCTTAAGCTACAGTATGTTCACATCACAGTTCTTTCCCTCACTGCATAACATTGTGAACAGCAAAAATCACATTGAATCTGATATTTTTTTATCTGATTTTGGCCACTTTATCATGTGGGAATAAATCGGAGAAATATCAGACTTTGTTCACAATCTGTCTTCACTGTAAACAGTCGGGTTGGACGTGTTTTTATTCCAATCTATCAACATTTATCATAATTGCTTATTTGGCATGAAAAAGCTAAAGGACAACAAAAGCAGCTATTAGTTTTATAACATGTATATACATATTAATATATATATATAGATAATATAATAGATTATATACTGTATATTTACACTACTGGTCATCACAATTATCACAATTAATTGCATCTAAAATAAAAGTTTGTGTTTACATAATTTATGAGTACTGTATATATGTATATGTATTTATATACATACAAACACATACATGTATATATTTAAGA